ACTCTCTCTCTCTCTCTCTACTATATATATATATATATATATATATACATATATATATATATAATGCATAGCAATCATGGGCACCCACACAAATATTTTCAGGTGGGCAGGGGCAAAACATGTATGTAGGGGACCAGTTTTTACAGTGTAAGACAACAGACTAAAAGAATGTGTTATGTGTGCTTAAATGCAAACACAAATTTAAAGTTTTAATAACAATTACTAAAAAATACTTAGTTTAACTACGATGTTAAGTTTACATCATTATATATGCAATTTTTTGTGAAATGTATGGGGGTAAATGCCCACTCTTGCCCCTTCCTGCAGCCACTCATGATAGCAGTTGGGAAATATATGCTGACTAAGACACAACCCCACTAAGCACATATAAAATTTTACCAGTATAAAAGCAGCCTTTTTAAATAAAACATACGTCTAAAACATCAATCTAAATAAACCTTCGTGTCTGTTAAAGTAATTATTTTATGAATGTGTGTAATAAAATTTAATATCATGTGTATTCATTTTTTTTTTACTCCTTCACTTCATACCTAATATAGATATGAAATGGGCTCCCTAAAGACACCAACTGTATAGTGTACAAAGCATTGACTATTGTAAATATTACAGTGATCTAATTTTCATCTATTATTGGCTGGTAATTCCCATTTTACCTTGTATTTAAGCTTTTTAAAGGAACACCAGATGTTTGTAAGAAAGCTAACTTCAAGGGATAATGATAACATTGTTTACACTAGAATTATGATGTTTTTAGCTTATGTAAAATATTAAAGAAACAAATTAACTTTTCAATACCCCTACGACCTTCACAGTACCTTACTTAGTATTCTACAAAAGGTTTGGGTGCAATATACCAAGCCTTTGATATGTTAAAAAAACATTAAACTCAAAAGCACTCAAACAAGATCTTAACTAAATTCAAGAAAACCTCATCTACTGTTTTTAAAAAATATATTATAAAACACTTTACTTGTGAAAATCATCAATGCAGTGAATCTGACTGGTGGCATCAACAGTAAATGGAATACCATCCAAACACTTTCCACAAACTACACATTTAAAGCACGCAGGATGATAAGGCTTTCCTGTTGCTCTCAGAATCTATAAGAAAAGAACCAAATAAAAAAATTACCGATTCTTTAAGAATAAACACTTTGATTATGTCACTTTAATGAAATGTCAGTTTCTCCATGCTGTTTCACCTCATTTATACTTCTGGTTCGATAAAAATTCCCTTGAACTTTGAGTAAATATTGAATAACTGTTTAATTGGTATATTTAAAGCATTAATAGAATCAATGTTTAATAAAATAGGAACAACATTTCACCTAAATCTTGGAAAATAACTAAAACTTAAGATGTACACGAATCAAACGTCATTACATGAATCAAAACATTCAATTTGTAGGTTTTAACAAAAAAGGTTTTTGTACTCTAAATATTCATGTTATAAACAACATCATGCCCATAATTAATCTTAATTTCAATTAATCCTTTGTGTGTGTGTGTGTGTGTGTGTGTACAGGGAGGTAACACAGGCTAAATTTGGGAGTGGTTACTGCTTTTGGGTGCAAAATGTGTGGTGCCCAAACTCAGAATCATGTCATAAAAACAAAACATTTGTTTAGATTTTTGCTCTATATCGCATCTTTTGGTAGTTCATCTTACCCCAAAATCCATCTGAGTAGATACACATAAATATAATATCTAAAAGTATCTCTAATTATTTTTTTTCATTTCAAGAGCCCCATACAATCCCACCTCAAATTCTCTGCAGGTTTCTGCGCAGTTACTGCTGCTCAAATTAATTTTCTGTATTACCCTTTCCACAGTATTGTAATGATTGGTTAAGATAGTTACTGTAGAACACTTTGAAAGACTCACACAGATATAACATTTGTGGTAGACACAATAACCAATGTTCTGTTTAATTTTTGTACAAATGCCTTAAATTAACAATGCAGTACATATATTATTACAGGTTTTAGTTTTCTTGTATATTGATTTATGACATTACGTACTTCTAGTCAAGTTGTGTAAGCAAGTTTGGCTAATTCATCAATTCATAAAATTGTTTCAGTCCTGACCTATATAGCTAGCTTACTTTAGGTCAGAGGTTTTAATAATTAAAGAACAAAGTTTTTAAAGTTTCTAAGATTTCAAATGACAAATATGGTTCACATTTCAGTTTGAACTTCCCTAATTAAACAAAAGAATGAAAAATAAAACTTACTCTATCAAGAACAGGATTTCCACAAACACAGCACTTTTCAAGAGAATTCTATGGAAAAAGAAAAATACAAAAACGTACATGTAATTTTTATTCGAGTACAATTAAGAGTAGTTCAAATTTTTTTTAAATAAAGAAATTTAGAAATTAAGATAAAAATATGAACTTTATAAGCCCAACGTATTTACTTTTTTGTGAATAACTGTGTTTTACTAAAATGTATTCTCAGTCTGAGCATTTCAACTTTTTATTTTATACAATGATGTAATTACTAATTTCATGTAATATAAAACAAAGGATTTATTGAACTGGAATTACCAAGTAGTCCTCTTCACAATACGGTTTCCCATCCATTGCATAAAATGATTTTCCTTGCAGTTCCTTATCTGAAATAAAGAATCGCAAATACTCCGATCCATAAGTTTTTCACACATTTGAAATAAAACAATATATAGAACCACACCTGTGCATTACATGTAGCTAAACATATAACACACGAGTTTATAACAAACATCTGTTGCATATTCTTTTCACCATTTCTAAGCATGTACTGGCAAGACTTTTGTTTGAGACGGGAAAAAACAAAGTAACTGCAAGTAACATTAAAAAAGGTTCAACAGAAGTTACGTTCCCCACATCCAGATCGTTTCTTTGACATTTTTAATAGATAAAGTTTACTCAACCAATATATCGTATAATAACTCGTAATCAAATATTCTGTTCTACTGAATGAGTGAACATGATGCCAAAGTTTACTCAACCAGTATATCGTATAATAACTCGTAATCAAATATTATTAAAAAAGAAGTTATTATAAACAGAACTGTCATAGCTGAAGTTACTATAAACAGAACTGTCATAGCTGAAGTTGCTTTTAGCAGAACTGTAATATGTAATTTTTCTGGCTATAATGAGGTGATTTTTTAATTTTCCATATTTAAAAGGGAATATTTTATTATGATAAGTTACCAGCATCACTGTATATCTGTTTTTACACTGTGTTGAAACTTACTTAAAATTGACTCATTATTTGTTTTTATTCATGAATAAAAATAAAAACTTAAGGAAATTAATTTTATAAAAAACTGTTCTACTGAATGAGTGAACATGATGCCACAAATGTGGAGAGAAAGTGCTTGGAGAAGGAAGTGGTTGCACAGCAATGTGTCAAGTCTACCATATAAAGTGTTTTACCTGCCATGTTTGTCGTAAGTACTATCACAGGAATGTTAAAAATATGCCTTTTGTTGTTTTGCGTTCGGTGAAGGAGAGGTTGTACAGCAATGTGTAAAATTAACCATACATGTATATGTTGATTTACTTAATTGTCACATTTGTCACAATATTTCTGTTACTAGAACTCTAGAAATTTACATACACTATTGTTGTAGTTCAACAAACTTACTGGTTCTTTCTAACTGATGAACTCTGAAACCATTAACAAAACTTTAATATTTTTGTTTTTTTTTACTCTTAATCTTTGTGGAAGTTACTTGTGTTAACGTTAGTGAAATTCTACAGTAGATATTGTGCAGAAGTTACTATAAACAGAACTGTAATAGCAGAAGTTATTATAAACAGAACTGTCATAGCTGAAGTTATTATAAACAGAACTGTCATAGCTATCTTTATTTATTTTGGTATAGGAATGTGCTATGAATCAACACTTTCTCTCCACATTTGTAGCACATTCCTACACCAAAATAAAGATATGAATCAAATATCTACTTGATAAAAACAATGGCTGTGGCAAAATTTGAAAAACAAAGCTCTTTTGGTTATATTTCAGTGAACTAACAGTACAAAGACCTTTTTATTATGTGTGTGTGTATGTATGTATATATATATATATATATAACACATAAAGCTAAAATAATTATTAAGTATAATACTTCTTACAGTTTCAAATCAGTGGTGCATAGAATAGCATTTAAGATCTTTTTTTTACCAAAAGTTACTATCCAGGAAACAAGAACTCACCAGTTGGACTGGACAAAGAGAGAGATAAAGTTTATGTGTAGCACAAGAACTTTAAAGTTAAGGTTTGAATGCTATAATTTGGCAAGAAATTTGGTACCTACAGACCTAATATTGTAACTGAAATCACTTTAGTTTACAAGTTTTTTTTACATGCTCCTCATAAGTTGCTCAGTATGGAATTTGAGAAGTGTGTTTTGGTATATTTTGTATATCACAGGCCCTTTCTTGAATTCCAGAAATGGTGCATATAGGGATGAACAGTTTTTATATTTGTTTAGAATTTTCTCACAAAGCTATACAAATGGCTATCTGAGCACATCCATCCATAATTTTGATCTGATACATTACATAGGAAGCCAGCTAGTCAACACCACCCACTGCCAACTCTTGTCTGAATGTATAGCAGAGCATG